GTGCTATAGGAAGATAGGATGAAGGAGTGGTGGTACGTTTTGAAGGTTTGAGAATCATTTTATTATGGAAAGTTTCCAAAGGAGAGGAAAATAGATTGTGCGTAACATAAAGTTGTAGATGTGTGTAAGAAAGAGAAGAGCTTTCTGGTAGGTGTCGAAGAATAAAGGGAGTGATCATATTATAAACAGGAGAAGGGTGTGGGGTCATATCCATTATATGCTTTCGGGACTGTAGATTTATAAAATGGTCTCGATTTTAAGATTATGCAACTAAGTTGTGACATATATGAATTTTTCGTATTTATTCGCTATATGGGTCTATTTATATGCTTTCGTGGCTGTAGATTTATAAAATGATCTACATTTTAAGATTACGCCCTTGCGTTTCGGCTTAATTGAGTTTTTTTGTAATTCTTCGCTGTAAGAGTCTATTTATATGTTTTCGGAGCCGTAGTTTTCTAAAATGATATCCATTGTCAGGTTCACAAATAAACACAAATGTGGCATTGTTAAATGCAGTAGAACTTGAGCTCCTTTACTTCTTTTCTGTGTTACACATGATGATCTAAATGTATTAAATAAGTACCCAGTTATAAAAAAAAGGTTTATTGTATATAATACGCCACTCCCATCCTCAGCATGGGTAGTCGTTTTACTTAAATTAATTTTAAGTGAATTAATTATGTTAATTATGTTTAACGTTTATATTTATTTTGCTTCGACATATGTTTTCGGTGCCTCAGTTTTTTTTAAAAATGATATCCATTTTAAGATTATGCCACTACGTTGCGGCATATTTGAATTTTACGTATTTCTTCGCTATAAGGGTCTATTTATATGCTTTCGGAGAAGTAGATTTATAAAACAATCTGCATTTTAAGATTACGCCACTGCGTTGCGGCTTATTTAGGTTTTTGTATTTCTTTGATAAAAGTGCCTATTTATATGTTTTCCAAGTCGTAGATTTTAAAAGTAATCTCTATTTTAAAATCACGCCCTTGCGTTTCGGCTTATTTGAGTTTTTTTGTATTTCTTCTATATAAGGGACTATTTATATATTTTCGGAAATGATCTCCATTGTCGAGTTCACAAATAAACACAAATGTGGCATTGTTAAATGCAGTAGAACTTGAACTCCCTTAATTCTTTTCTGACATAAATTTAATCTTACTGAATTAAATAAGTACCCAGTTATAAAAAAATTGTTTATGGTATACAAAACGCTACTCCCATACCCAGTATCGGTTGAACGACTTTTTTCTTAATTCTTAAATTATGCAACAATGACAGAACTACCAGAAAGTAATAAACTAAGTGATAGACACTTTGAAATGAGAGTTCTTTTGAAAGCAAATATGACAACTTCAGATTCGAAAATATCAATTAATTGATTTTTTAGTTTTTCATTCAAATAACAACGATGATTTCTATGTTTAAAATGTCTTTCCATGATAAACTATTTATTTTAACTTTCGTAAATTTATTTAAAATAGCACTACTATAAATAACAAATATTGAAATTATTAACAATTAATAACTGATTTTAATTAAACTAAATTTAGCATTATAAAACTGCTAACATATTCGTGCACATATGAATAATAATACATGAATAACTTAAATTTCATAAATTCTAGAAATTCATTGTACCTACTTGGTTTTATATGGAGCAGGTTTTGATACTAAAGACCACAAATAAGTTCAAAAACTGTGGCTCCAAAACATATAGATAGACCCGTATATCAAATAAACCAAAAAAAACTTAAATAATTGGAAACGTAGTGACTTAATCTTAAAATATAGATCATTTTCACACATTTTGGCTCTGAAAACATATAAATGGACCTTTATATCGAAAATCCTTAAAATTACAAAAAGAAGGTTATTCGAATCGTATTTTTATCTTAAATAACGAATAATAGATAAAAGATAATGCATGTAATATTTAAATAACAAATAATTATCTGTCCAAAGGTCATCGAATCAGAATAACGAGTAAAAATGCATCCATTATTAAGAATAACTTTATTCGTATAACGCCCAACACTGCATCAACTTCTCCGACTGCATTAGTTGCCATCGCAACTACTTTTCCAGCTGCTTTAGTTGCCGTTGCTACTACTTGTCCAACTATAGTAGTTGTTTACTTTACTATGCCAATCCCTTCCAAGGCTGTTAGGGATATTGTCATAATAATTCTGCTTTAAGAACTGGTGATAATTTATTGCTGTGGACTGTAAAATTAGAGAAGTTAATGGATTAAAGAAGTGAATGAGTAAAATTGATTGCTATATTTTATTACATGTATTTTATAAGGAGTTTAAATATAGGTGGGTTGGGATACTTGCATTTTCTCTCTTCTTGTTGTGCCAGTCTTCTTGTTCATCTTCCCTCTCTCCCTTTCTTGGCCCCTTGCCGGCCGCTGTAGGTTTTTACTCCATTTTTATTAAACCAGTGGAATCACAAGTTTTTTGGAAAATCACAATGAAACTCACAAACACGAAATTTGAACTGGCCAGTCTTGTCATTCTCTCACGCTACGTGAGCGTCTACACTTCCACAATGGCGGCGTCACAACAATGACTGAGATATATGCAGTATAACATCTGTGTTGTGCTTACTTGATTTAATTCAAATATGAAGTTTAATGTGTTCCCTAAACAGTAGTAGTATTTCTGAATTCTATCTATTATACTTTGACTAATAGTTATTGCCGGCTGCCGACTACTAACTACAAAAAGTAGTTTTATTTGGAACTAGTTCCCAACGACGAAGTTGTAGTTTCACTTTTTTCCCAACGACGAAGTTGTAGTTTCACTTTTTTTCCAACGACGAAGTTGTAGTTTCACTTTTTTCCCAACGACGAAGTTGTAGTTTCACTTTTTTCCCAACAGTGACTTAGGGTGAATACGTTTGACCTATCGGTGATCGGTATTGGAAACCATGTAATTCCATTTAAATAAATTTTAAATGGGAAAAAATAAGGTTCTGACTAAATAAAGAAATGCATCTTATTACCTTTAGGGAAAATGAAAATATTTAATTCAAAAATACTTCAGAAAGGCTCACCCGGAAGTGTGTGCAAGAAAATTGAACATTCAGGCCAAATGACTAAGCGTGTGTTCAATGTAAGAACAACGGTTCCCGGTATACTCATTGTAGGTGATGAAAAATACCAAAAAGATAGAACAAAATTGCCCGATTATTGATTCGCTAATTCAGATTAATATGATAAACCATATATAAATAAAAATTGTCCTGCCACTGAAGATCCTTACCTGATAACAGAGTATAAAAACTACGGAACATCGACAGTACTGTACAATCCTTAACAACGATCAAGGTAAGTTAACTATAGATACTATATTCAGTTTAACAATTTGAAATTTAAAGTATTTATGTGAGCGTGACATTTTTATGAACTTGAGATTAGTTAACAAAATCTTAAATCACATGTAATGAAGCCTTCAGTGAAAATTCAAGCTGAGCGAGGTTTTTTTCAACTGTAATGAATCGAAGACTTTAGATAGGTTATTCATTTCATTCACTGACCTGTAACTCCCAATGTTTTTGATATATTTTTATATATTGGGTCAGATATCATCTCATATATAGCTTTTTGAAACAATAAAGAAATATCTCTACTTGGGAGTCTATATATATATATATTTTTTTTTTTAGTTTAAATTTTAATATTTTTAAGACCACGAGATCATATAACCAAATAACATCAATTAGGTAACCAAGGTAAACATTAAAAACTTTGTAATTTGTTCTACCAACATTGACAGGGCGATAACTTTTATAGGATTTTGAACAATGCCGAAATGGAATTTTGAACGGAAATTAAATTTTAATGTTGTTTGGATCAAAATAAGACTTTTTAAGAGTATGTGAACAACCCAGCTCAAAACCTAATAGTTGTTCGTAACTATAATTTCATATTTAAGGTGTACGCCTGTGATATTTCAGCAACGTTTTTTTTTAAATCGACATATCGTAAGTGCAACTTTCCATCGAACATTTTGGTTCTTCTTTCTACGAATGCTTAAAGATGGTTTCACCAATTTTTATTTAGCCCGTTATATCATATACAATTAAACCGCCTTTAAAATCCACGTTAGCTTAAATAATAAATGTATAAAACCTATATTTATTTATTTTTTTTTATTCAAAATCATAAATAATAATAGTAATCTGACATATTAATTCCTAAATTGAGTGCCGATAAACGTATTCATTGTCAACCTGGATAAGCATTTTTCTTTTTTCCACCAGTATCCAATTATCATATTCTTTCAAACTTCATATTTAGCCATTCTTTATAATTACTGTCAATAAAAGAGAGTTATTTTGTTAAATAAATCATATTAAAGGCACTTTTGAAAAATACGTATATGAACATTTGGCATTTAAGCCCTGTAATGGGGATAAGACCTAAATAATATTAAATACCGCTTAATTATACAACGATACACCGAGTTTAATGAAAATCGTTAAAGCCGTTTTTGAGAAAATTGTAAAAATGGGTTTCGCCGTTGATATAAAGTGGCACTTCTTGTTAGGCGATTTTAAGGGGAAAGTTGCGATCATATCTAAGGCATATATGTATCTTAAATACGTATCAGTTTAATATATTTATTTAATAAAAACTAATATAATATTTAATATATTAGTAATATCAGTTTCGTACGACTTTTTATTTTTGAGCTAGACTGTTCACATGAAAACACAACAGACCAGACAAACACTAACAGACCACTTTGAGGGACCTGATTATTTGGACTTAGGGAACCTCAAAACGTGTATTTCAGTTGAAAATTCAGATTCGAAATTTTTCACGATCGCAATACTTTCTCTTACAGTATATTACAGCATATGTAAGTGAAAGTAATAATGTAAATAAATATAGTTCCATTTTTATGTTTAAATGTGCCTGATGTTAAATTGATGTTTACAGGTTTACTTAACATTTATACGATGATTACTTTAATATTTATTGCCGCTTGTGTTGGATTCAGCATAGCTGGAAAAGGTGGTTTTGTTTATCTGATCAATTTGAGTGGATCGGATTGGATACTGACAAACCAAGAATCATTCAGAATGGAGAACTGGAATTTCCCGACATTACTCAAAAATGGGGACGCTGAACTTGTTTATGTAGAGTTCACGAATTCATTATTTTGGTTTTTTATATCGGCCCACGCCAGAGTTGTCTATGAACTTGCTGGGACAGGAGGAAAGAGTTTTCAGATATTAGCTATAGGAAGACCTTATCTTAGGTATGATATACCTAACCGCTTAGAGGCGTTCTATGACAACTTGGAAATACATGGCCAAACAAAAGGAATGAGAAGTAATTTAGGTTGGAGGCATGACAGAGATACTAATTTTATTATCATCGGAAAGAATGGAAAGTACACCGGCACAAGTTTGGACGGTTTTAACTGGATGAAGAACAACATAGACGTTTTGGGGAATAGAACTCTCAGGCAGATTTCCATCCCTGGATCTCATGATGCAGGTATGAGAACACTGAATGGAAATACTGTCTATGGTTACTCATGCAATTTACTTACTCAAAGTTATTCGTTTGGACAGCAGTTGAATCTCGGTATCAGATACTTTGATATAAGGCCAGTGATTGGTAATGGTGGTGAATATCTCACCGGCCACTACGATTACGATTCAGGTAGCTGGCAGGGTGGGAACGGTCAGTCTATCTCCTCAATTATAACCGAACTTAATAATTTTACTGAGGCCTACAACGAATTAATAATAGTCAAATTATCTCATTCACTTAACACCGAAGTTGGATCAAATAACTACAGAAAGTTTAAACAAGAAGAATGGGAAAATTTGTTTCAAAAACTGGATTCTATAAATTTTCTTTATATAAATGGCAACAGCAATGTCCATCTTGACCAAATAACATTAAATGATTATACCGATCATGGTTCCAAAGCTTCTGTCATTATAATTGTTGATGATGCAGATTCTAAAGTTGAGTTAGGAAGTAGATTGGGTAAGGGTTACTTCATGCCAAACAGCTTAGACATTTATGATAATTATGCTGGTACCAACGATTGGAGGACAATGATCAATAATCAAATCAGAAATATGCATGAGCATTCAAACAATCAATACTTTTTACTATCCTGGATCCTGACTCAAAGTGAAAAACAAGCATCCCTATGTACTGTACATGAAAAATCTGTTAAAGAACTCGCAGATGAAGCTAATAATCATTTAGGAAAACTGTTGTATGATGAAGTTTCATCTTCCTCGTACCCCAACATCATTCTTGTCGATAACGTGAAAGACACTGACGTTGCTGCAATGGCACTGGCTATAAGCACAAAAATAATGTAACAATTTAATAATAATTAAATACTTGACCGTAGCTGGTTTAAATAATAAATCTGATATATTATGATATGCAGTATACAGCAACATATGGGGTTTCGGGGGAAGGGTAGATTTCAGACAAAAATTCAACAATAAAGTTCATTTGAAGCTAGAACCGATTACGAATGGAAAAGGAATGGAGACCAATTTTGTGTTTTTCTTAAGGTAGTAACGTTTTTTTATTCTATAAGAAGGAATTTCTCAGAAATTGTTCAAGATAATTAAATTCTAGATACAGCATCGTAAAGTAGACAGCATATCTTTGTACAGCGGCCGAATTAGACCTTCTGAAAGTCCCTTTTATCAGTAACATTAATAAATTTAATCATTGTTTTCTCGAGAAAAAAAATGTCTAATTTACGATGGTGCACTTAGAATTTAATTATCTTGAAAATTTTTTGAGCAATTTCTTCTTATTCAATTAAACCTTAAGAAAAACACAAAATTGTTCTCAACTACTTTATCGTTCGGAATCGGTCCATGCGTCAAATAAACTATTTTTGTTGGAAATTATGTCTAGAATCACTCCCCAAAGTTTGGCCATTAAGAACTGGAATACACTGTATAAGCAATATCAAAGAGAACAGTGATACAACAATAAATGTAAATAAAATAAATTATGCAAGCCTATCTAAACTAAATAATGAATGAGTGAAATATACGGTATATTATATTTATATAGTATATGATAATAAGAATGTAATAAAAATAACAGGCTTCTTCAACATTGAGAAGATATAAACCCTAAAATTTAGGAAAATTTTCTTTGCATTAATTACTTAATATAAGTTGAATCCTTCCTCTGTAATATAATTTAGTTTTGAAGTTAACATTTAAACTAACAAAATAACACAGTCGGTCACTAAATAGAGAATTTCTGTTTTGTAATTGTTATTTTTATACATAATTTTAAATGAATTATGTTAATCTATATATTATTTTATAAGTATTATCTAAATTTACATATTATTTTATATGTATTATGTAAATATAGGATTCGGGAGAAACTAGTGTTTTTTTTTATTACCTATTTTCTCAAATTAAAAAAAAATCGTCTGTTCCCTGCAGTAAAAGTCACTAAGTACACTTTTTATTGATCTAAACTTTTAAGTATATATATTTATGAATTTCAGCAGGGTCATTTCATGCCAAATGATAGAGAAAAAGTTCTATTTGTAATCCATTATCCTCAGATCTTAATGATTTTCTTTTTAATATTAAGTCAAATACCAAATTATACCCAATTCTAACGATTAGTTATAGAATTGTGAGCATTTAAACTTGAAATATTTTAAGTTGAGAATACATGAGCTCAAAACAAGTATGAACCCGTAATGTAATTCCTTCCTATGAACCTGTTATGTTTTCCTTCCTAAAACCAATATTTGTGATAAAAATATAGAAAACTACCTGCAACTAATATATCTCTCCAAATATCCAAATACAATCAAATATCTATGAAAACAGCATACAATTCTCTACTAAATCCAAAAATAATATTAATGTGCTTTTGAGTTTGCTGAGTTTTATTACACTTTAAACCCAATACAGTAAATTTGAATATAGCAGCTTCAAATACAAAGTTTCTTAAAGCTCTCGCCAACTATCCTAATATAACTATACATCTCTAAAAAGAGCATGGAATTTTCTAGTAGATTGTTTAATAATATTAATGGAATTTTGAGTCATAAGATATTTATTATAATGTAAATGAAGTATTTATTTATTTCCACCCTCCCATGCCACAATGGCAATACGGGTGTTTGCAATAGTCTGTTTTAGGTATGAATACTTAATAACACACTACTACTAGATATGCACATATATAGTTCTTCTGTTTTATCTTCTTCCTTCTTCTTTCGGCCTAGCTTTCAGAATCTGGAGGTCTTCCTGGCGCTTGTCCTCTTCTTCTGCGAGCACCAATATGAAAGTGAGTGGGCCCCACTGCAGTCTTCCATCCATTTATGAAATCCTTAAACCGCGGGAAATTTTCCTCACTGACTAACTGAGGAAACTCATTTTCAGTGAGGACATAGATTCCCGCGGCTCTTGTCATTGTCGCTCTTAACGTTTCAAACGCGGTGCAGGTCGTGACCACGTGCTCTACAGTTTCCGGAACACTACAAATTGGGCATAGAGGATCTACATTAATGCCCAGACCGTGAAGTTTAGGTCGAAATCCTCCATGCCCCGTGAGGAACTGGGAAATCCAGTAGTCCGGGAGGACCACAGTCGACTGTACTGTGGGAATGTACTTCCTTTAGGGGTTGTTACCCACCGCCGGTTCCATGCTTCAATTGTATCCTCCCGGAGTATCTTCTTCCACCTATTAGGCGCTTACATAATCCTCACCTGTATATTGTCCGAAAGTACTGTAGAGCCTTCTATCTTGTATGAATATTTCGTCACTTCTTCTAGTAGGAGGAGGTCGAGAGGCACCACCCCCGCGAGAACCTGCACCGCTTCATGCGAAGTTGTCCTATATGCTCTAGTGACCCGAAGCAGAGCTGTCCTCTGAGTCGAGGCTAGCCTTTTTTTTTTGTCGTAGTGTGAGGTTACGGAACCAGAAGGGAGACGCATACCTCAGGATACCCTCCACAACTCCTTTATATATCGTGATTGTGGCTGGATACCTAAGGCCCCAGAATGCGCCTCCCACGCGAGTTAGACCGTTCATTGCTAGGGCCACCCTACCTGCCATATATTCCAAGTGAGGTGTCACATTTAGGCCTAAACCTAACCTAACTCCTAGGTAGGTTACCACCTCACTTGGACGTATCCTTTGGCCTTCTATATTCATTGTTATAGGGTGTGCCCTGTCAGTCTTGCCCTTGAGGAGAATGGCTTGAGTCTTGGCAGCAGCCATCCTCATCTTCTTCCCCTCACACCACCTCGCGACCAGGCCAGCGCATCGCTCTGCTTCTGTCTTGACTCCAGCTCTGCTGTTTGAGGCCACCACAGCAGCTAGGTCATCAACATAGGCAGTAGCAGGGAACCGCTCTTCCTCTAACACTCCCAGCAATTCATCGAAGACAAGCTTCCACAGAGCAGGGCCAAGGACTGATCCCTGAGGGCATCCCCTCTCTATGGAAGCTTCTACCTCATAGTGATTCCCTCTGATCTTGACACGCCTGTCATGGAGGTAGCTTCTTACAAGTGAGTATAAATTGCTGGGAGCATCGTATTTCTGCAGCTGCTGGAGCACGCTAGGCCACCATACACTGTCGAAGGCGGAAGATATATCAAAAAGCAATAGCATAACATAACGTTCCGCCCTCTCTTCAACATCTTGGCGCACTCTCAGCAGAGCATCAGCGGTCCCTCTGCCTCTAGTTGAACCATATTGCCGTGGATGGCTAGCTCTGTCGAAAACAGGGCGTAAGCTAGACATCATGAGGTTCTCCAGGACCTTGCTCATCACAGGGAGGAGACATATAGGTCTATATGAGTTAGGGAGTTGCTTATCTCTATCTCCTCCCTTGTAAAGGAGTCTCAAATCAGCAATCTTACAACATCGTGGGAAGTATCCCGTACCTAGACACTCATTGAAAAATCTTAAAATATGATCTTCAATATACGGAATACTGTTCCTTAAGATTGCCGCGTCTATTGCATCAAGACCTGGAGAACGATTCATTTTCTGCCTATCCACGGCAATACGAAGATCGTGAATGTCCCATGGTGGGCATAAATCTGACCCGGTCGGATACACCGTGGTACGCCTCACAAAAGCGTCATTTTCGCTGTCCTGGGCTGAATCATCGCTGGGGTATATTGCTTCAATGAAAATACTGGCTGTCTCTTCCAGGTTGTTGCCTGAGTATCTTGATATTTCAAAACTGCAATAGTCTGCAGCGGGGTCAGCTTACCCAATGCCATCCTGTACGGAATACCCCAGGGATTCTTCGAGGACTCTTCGACGATGAAATCGTCCCAGGACTTCCGTTTTTGTGAGCGAACCTCGTTTCGGTATATCCTGGATTTAGATTTATACTCATTCCGAAGTGCAATGCGCCTCTCGTCACATCTGCATCTCTGATATGACCGCCGGGCCTTGTAGAGGTCTCTCTTTAGAACAGTTAAGGCTAGCGTCCACCACGGGACCGGTCGAGCTCTCGCTTTCCGGTGCTTCAGGGAGTTTTCGGCAGTGTCTCGAATGATATTGGTGATCCTAGATTCCTTGTAATCCAGGTCATTAGCTACGTCCATCTCCATCACATCCTATTCTTCATCTACAATTAGTCCTTCCAGACAGCACCTGAAGGCACTCCAGTCACTTATTTTCGTAACAAAACCTTTATCAATACCGTGGGAAAATCCTGGCTTATCTGCCAGGTCGATTGCTATCGCAATGTGGTCGGAACTCGTTTCAGACCTGAGAGTCCAATCTGTGATGTACCTCGTAGGCACAGGCGTGACGATCGTAACATCAATCCAACTCTGCCCCATGACTCCAGAAAAGGTAGGGGTAGCAGAGGGTTCATTCATCACGACAAGGTGGTTTCTTGCTATGAAATCTCCCATTTTCGCGCCTCGCCTATCAGTAATATTGGACCCCCAGACCGTGTTCCAGGAGTTGGAATCTGAGCAAACGATCACATCTCTCTAATGATCGTTTCCATAGCGGATATGCTTTCATCAATATCATCACTGACAGGCAGATATGCCGACACAAGTGTGAAGGTAATCTTACCCCATCTAACATAGCATGATGCATAATTCGCCATGGTATGCTGTCTCAGATCCATCACGTCGAGGTTAGGATTATTGATCACTATTGCAGCCCTGGGCCTCCTCTCTCCACTGCTCAGGGCAATAATCCTCGACGTGAGGCCAAACCCTGTGACCTTGTTCCCACGGCAGGTCGGTTCCTGAACCGCCATAATGTCATAGCGTTTAGAAAGAGCGCGAAGCTCATCAGCCACAACGCGTCGGCGGCCCATTTTTAGCTGGAGGATAGTGAT